CTGTTGTAACTTCAAAAGGTCACTAAATCAATGGTTGTAAGTTAAGGACTATTTGTAATTCAAAGTAAATTAATTACAAAGGTGAAGGAAATTCAGGCTCATGAATTAATAGCATCATTTGTAATACCGAAGCAGCTTAAGTTTATAAATCTCATTACTATTGGCTAAGACACTTTTTCAGAGTTTCAATTTACTCTTCTATAGCAGTGAGAGATTAAGGCTGCAAAGGCAAAGTATAGTTCATGTGAGATAGGAGTTTTGTGGTAAGAATAGATTTTCTTTGAGAGAAAAAAGAGAAACATTTGCCTGTTTTCACTGCTTTAAATCTGAGCAGAACATCAGATTTTATTCTGAAAAAGTGATTTGGATTAGTTGGGGGTTTGTGAAGGTAGCATCAGTTTGCAACTCATTAAAGCAGTTGCATTTTTTCCTGGATTTGCACACTTGCCTTCTGTACGTACTATACAATACTGAATAAAGATGCAGATTTTGTTTATTCATTGCAGACTAAAGATGGAACTAATTTATATAAATATAAATTATATATATAAATATAAACTTATATTCTTTTTAGTTTTCAATTTAGAAAATAAATGGGAAACAAATAGCTATATTAAAAAACAAAGCATCAGGCCTCAATCATTAGCTATAATGCTGTGCCCTATAGATCCCAGAAAGATACCTAAAAGATAGAGCACAGATAGACTTTCCATTTGGGAACACATTTGCCCATGAGCCTGAGCACATTTCTGCAGAAAGCAGTTTCTCCCCTCTCCTCTCTTTCTCACCCACACATGCACATAGTTATTATTTCTGATTGCCCCATCAGATCTGATAAGAGGGGCATACTTTGGGTACTACTAGCTAAGGAATGTCAGTGGAATGTCATGCATAAAATGAGAGCCTTTTCTGCTGTGGCACCTGTTCTTCGGAATATCATCCCTGTTGAAATTAGATTGGCCCTGCTCTTGTTGGCCTTTCATGAGATCTTGAAAACTTGGTTTCTGCCCAAGCCTAGGGCTCTGACTGTGGGGTAGAGTCCATTTCTTGGTTATGTGGACGATTGGTTGGATAATGCCTGGCTGCTATGTGTTTTATTTTTATTTTTTATATTGTATATTTTATGTATTTTATTGTAATGTGCTTAGAGTCATATCAAAATGAGATGGGCGGCTATATAAGTAAAATTGTTAAATTACCCATTGTCAATTACAAGCTTGTCAAGCAGCAGGGAAATCTGAAGTTCCAGGCAGTTCAAATGTGTATAAAGATTTATTGTAAGCTTAAACTCTCTACAAGAATCTGAACTACTAATGGTCTAGGGAAATTAGTGGGAGTTAAGAATAGAAAGGAATTCAAGGTGGGCTGGACTTGGATCTTGTGGGCGCAAAGGGACTCATGAATGATGACGCATCTGAGCCCTTTTGGGCTCAGCCCTATCTTTTCCTACAGCATTATTATTTTCACAATGCTATAAAAGTGTGTGTACATTGTGCAGACAAGTGTCCCCACACAAATAAAAGGGCCCCAATCCTGTTGGTCTTTCACAAGACTTTAAAAACTTGGCTAGTTAGATGGTCTTGGGCTTGGAATGTATTAAGGGAGCTGTTACTTGACTTCACTATTAGTCAATTAATTATCATGGCTGCTATTTATTTTTATTTTGTTTTGTGGCTTTTTAATTTTTTTTTTATAATTTTAGAATTGTAAACCTCCCAGAATCACCTGGTCGAGTTGGGCAGTTTTAGAAATTGAGTAAACAAACAAACAAATCAGGGAAATGAAATAGTTTATTTTATTTATTTATTTTTATTAAATTTGTATACCACCCTTCTCCTGCTGGACTCAGGGCGGTGCACAGCCAAAAATAAAAAACATTCCAATACAAAATTTAAAATTTTTAAAAAGAATTACACAACTTTGGCCCAAAATTTAAAACATCCCAACAAAACCCATAGACAATTAAAAATCTAACATCTCAAAAGTGGGGGGGGTGTTACGCCAGCCCTGCTTGGTGGAAAAGAAAAGTTTTTAGGGCATGGCGAAAAGCCCGGAGATCTGGTATCATGAGTATCTCCGGGAGCAAATCGTTCCAGAGGGCAGGTGCTGCCACAGAGAAAGCCCTCCCCCTGGGGGTCATCAGCTGACACTGCCTGGCTGATGGCACCCTGAGGAGTCCCTCTCTGTGGGAGCGTACTGGCCGGTGAGAGGTATTGGTTCTCATCTTTAAAGCACTCCATGGCTTAGGGCCCGGGTATTTACGAGACCACCTTCAGCCACCGATAACCTCCCACCGGCCAATCCGCTCCCACAGAGAGGGTCTCCTCAGGGTGCTGTCGGTCAAGCAATGTCGACTGACGACCCCCAGGGGGAGAGCTTTCTCTGTGAGGGCACCCGCCCCGCCCGCTATCCCCAGGAATACGACTGATCCCGGACCTCCGTACTTTCTGCCGAGCATTGAAGACCTTCTTATTTCAGCAAGCTGGGCTGGCTTAAAATTTTAATGGGCTATTTTATTGGTAAGGGGTTTTAAAATTTGCGGAAGCCAAACTAATTTAATTCTGTTTTCATTTATTTTAATTTTTATACTGTATGTATTTTAATTTTGGCTGTTCACCACCCTGAGTCCTTGGGGAGAAGGGCGGTATACAAATTTAATAAACCGAAACCGAAACCTAAACCTATCGGCGGCAGAAGGCGGACCAGCAAATACCCAGGTCCTATGCCATGGAGCGCTTTAAAGGTGGTAACCAACACCTTGAAGCGCACCCGGAAGACCACCGGAAGCCAATGCAGCTCACGCAGGAGAGGCGTCACATGGGAGCACCCCCTCGCTCCCATAATCCTCCGCATGGCCTCATTCTGCACCAGTTGGAGCCTCCGGGTGCTCCTCAAGAGGAGCCCCATGTAGAGAGCATTGCAGTAGTCCAGGCGGGAAGTGACTAGTGCCTGAGTGACTGTGTGTAAGGAGTCTCGATCCAGAAAGGGACGCAACTGGCGAATTAGGCGAATCTGATGAAAAGCTCCCCTGGCCAAGGCCGTCATATGCTCTTCTAAAGACAGCCGTGCATCCAGGAGGACGCCCAAGTTGTGAGCCCTCTCTGTGGGGGCCAATAACTCGCCCCCAATAGCCAAGGGGCAGCTGGTTCCATAGGGTAGGTGCCCCCACAGAGAAGGCCCTCCCCCTGGGGGTCACCAGCCTACATTGTTTGGCTGATGGCACCCCGAGGAGGCCCTCTCTGTGGGAGCGCACGGGTCGATGGGAGGTTGTCGGTAGCAGCAAGCGGTCTCAAAGATAACTAGGTCCTATGCCATGGAGCGCTTTAAAGGTGGTAACCAACACCTTGAAGCACACCCAGAAGACCACTGGGAGCCAGTGCAGCTCGCGCAGGAGCGGTGTTATGTGGGAGTGCATATCATCAGCGTACTGATGGAACTCCACCCCAAAGTCACGGATGATCTCTCCCAGCGGCTTCACATAAATGTTGAACAAAAGGGGCGAGAGGACTGACCCCTGCGGCACCTCACAAACAAGGTGCCTCGGGGTCAACCTCTGTCCCCCTGCCAACACCAACTGCGTCTGGTCGGAGAGATAGGAGGAGAACCACCACAGAACAGTGCCCCCCATTCCCAACCCCTCCAACCGGCGCAGCATGATACCATGGTCGATGGTATCAAAAGCCGCTGAGAGATCTAACAGGACCAGGATAGAGGAACAACCCCTATCCCGAGCTCTCCAGAGATCATCCACCAATGCGACCAATGCCGTTTTCGTTTCCGTGCTGTGCCCAGGCCTGAAGCCGGACTGGAGCGGATCCAGATAGACTATAAATAGTTATATAGATAGTGCTCAATTAGTGAACACAATTGTGACTGACAGTTTGGTTGCTAAGTGGAAAATCACGTAACTGGGACTGTGCTTATGTTTTATTTCAGCTTTCCTTTCTCTCCACTTTGCCACTTTGCCAACCTTCTGCATGCATTGGGATAATTAGCAAGAAGGGAAATAATGTTTGATTTTACAATCATTGGAGAGGAGTAAGTTTATTCTCTTGTAATCCCAACCTCTCCAGTGCCTCTGCTTTGCAAGGTGAGGTGGGGATAGGAGGAAAAAAATGGGTCACACACAGGAGAGATTATTTAAAGAGATTGTTTAACATATAATTGACTGTAATGGTGAACTTGACAGAGAGAAGCTGTGAATGTCATAAATGCACATCTTGTTTGCAAAATTATTTTTTCAGCGTTGTCATAACTGAATGGTTTACTGCTGCCTAAGCCAGTTGATAAGCAAAACCTACCTATACCGAAAAGTTACTTTCCTTGTTTTGAAATGTACTACTAAGGAATATGCAACATGATGTGCTCTGCTTGTTAGGCTACATGTTCAATGATATTTGACTATTGGTTAAACTTTTGGAGATTTAAACTAATCTAAAACATCTGGAGGACACTGTTACTACTTATCTTTGAGTGAAAAAAGAAGAAAAGTAATAAATATAAGTAGCAATTTTAAATAAAATTATTTATGCATACTGGAAGTTTATAATCATATTCATTCATAATACATTGTTCTTTTTATTTTGGGGAATATCTTTGAAAGGAAGATTCAGGCAGCAACATGTTTTGATCCACTGATTTATTGGTGAGGGAAGAATGTGTAGGTGTTTTGCAGAGACACTTTTTCTCCTTGTAATCTGGAATGTCATCTCCTGACCTGATGCTAAAGATATGATAAGGTTACTGGCAGGAACTGCGAAAGAAACGGATCATAAATGACCTTTCATCTGTTCTTGGAAATCTGTAAGCATTTGGATTCAACTGAATATAACTCATTTATTTTATTCCAGCTTATTTTCACACATACTTAATTATTTTTCTCCTAAGGAGTGGAGTTAATGTATATGCATGTGTGTGAGAGACTGAATGTGCATGTATCTATATGTATTTTATAACAGAGTATTTTGTTTCAGCATGTTATAAAAATATTATTTTTCTAGAATGCCAACTAATGAAAACAGAGCGACCAAAACCGAACACGTTTATTATTCGATGTCTTCAATGGACCACTGTGATAGAAAGAACATTTCATGTAGATACTCCAGAAGAACGGTGAGAAATAAATCCAACTGTGTCTTGTTGGACTTTTAAAATGTTGGTAAGAGTTTTTACAAGAAGAAAAAAAATGTATTTTGAGAATTTGTGTTCATTTATTGAAATTATGAGCTAAAATATTCCTAATTCATTGGCAACAGCTACAAACAAATTATAGCATTTAATTGTGACTTAAAATACTTGAATTGTGTCAGACCTTGAAGGTAGGCAAAGTCAAGAAACAGAAGCAGCAGAACTGCAGAAAAGCTTTCTGTTAACATATAAAACAGAAAAACAGAATAAACAGAGAAACAGAGAAAAACAGAATCTTGAAGGCCTATGAAAGTTTCTGTCTTATGCCAAACAAAATCAAGGCAGGATTATTTTGAATTTCTCTCTCATGCTTTCTACTTTCCCAAGACAAAGTAGTCTTTTCTGATCTCTTCCTCCTTTATTATCCTCTTCCCCCTTCCCAAGCTCAAAACTTCATATTCCCCTGCCAGAATCATATCTCCCCTCCTGCACATGGTAATGGGCCAGAAAACTCATCAAGGGCAATGAGCACATAATCATTTTTGTGTGAAAATGGATTTAGAAGCTTGTCAAGGTCAGTAAACACCATACTTTTCAGAGTATAAGACGCACTCCCCTCCCAAAAAAATGGGTGAAAATTGTGGTGCAAGTGCCTGGAACTGGCCGAAAATGTGATGCATGGACGCCAAAAATGGGGTGTGCAGAGGCGACGATTGGTGGCGATGTGCTGTGGTGATCTCCGCAGCCTGGAACTGGTCTAAAACAGAGCTTGCAAAGGCCAAAAACTCAATGTGTGGAGGCAGCGATGGGCTCTGGTGATCCCCAGAGCCTGGAACAGCTGATTGGCGGTATTCTGGGAGGCTGATCTAACCGCCAATCAGCTGTTCGTGCTAAATCAGGCTGCGATAATGTGCTGAAGCTGACCAGGCTGTTTGCTGTTTGCTGCAAGGATGCTAGCCAGATGAATACCGATGGTTGCTGGTAGGCAGAGGCAGAATTTTTTTCCTGTTTTCCTCCCCAAAACTAATGTGTGTCTTATATTCTGGAGCATCTTATACTCCGAAAAATATGGTAAATCAGATGAAGATGGAGATGGAACTGGAAAGGGCCTCTTGTCCTCCTGTTGCACAGCAACTGCTACTGAAGAATCTGACTTGGCAGGGAACAAAGAATCTTCTTCATTCTAGACTCAGTATCTGGCAATTCTGGATGTAGTTCACAGGGACAGGTTTTGTGTGAAAATTTCAGATAGAACTGGCAGATAATCCTTTGCTCCCTCCCACAACTCCTTCAATTCAGGGTATTCAATTCAGTTATTCTATACATCCCTTCCTATAACTGGAGTCCACAGTATGTTCTGCCTTGTATTCCTTTCTTCATTTACCAGGACACAAGGCAGAAGGCAGGTCCTCTTGGACCAGTGAAATACCAGATGTATCTGCTAAAGCAGGCAACTGCAGAAAGAAATTCACTGGGATAATCTGATGGGTAACAGGGAAGAGGTATAGAAAACAAAGAAGATGACCTTGACAGAGAAAGGGAGGATCTGTTACCAAGACAACAAACCTAAACATTGCATAAACACAGACAATGCAAATCAGTATGAAATTGTCTCAGAAATACACCTCCAATATCACATGAAGATAAAAAAGAGAGGAGACACACATTCAGATTTACAAACCTCTGTTATAGGCACTTAATAAAAGTAGTTTTCGGCATGCTGGCATCTGTTTCTTGGTCTGGTCTGTCTTGCAGGGCTGACAAGGGGCTAATAACGTTTAACTTTAGCTTTTTGGATAGGTGAAAGGAAGCAAGAAATGCAGTGGAAAACAACACCAAACGTTCCTTTAGAATCTTGGTGTCCTCTTGCCAATGAGCATCTGCTGCTCATTTGTACATAACCTTGGCTAAAGCTAACTACTTACTTAATGAAAGTTGTGCAGTTTATGTCTCCTGGTGAAAATCAAAGGCTCAAAGAACAATGGAGGCAGGAGGAATGGAGGGCATGATCCATAGGTGATAGCTGTAGAGTACTTGAAAGGCCAACACACAACTGGAGGAATGTCGTGAGATGTTATAGACAGATTCTGCAAAATGCAATAAATGAATCCAATTATCCAGTTAATGAGAGACATAGCAATGGAAGTACCATTCAAATAATGTATTCCATTTCCAAAATTTGGGTGTAAATTGAAAACCACAATCTAATCTATATATATAAAAACGAAAACCACTCATATCGCAATCACGAAAGCTCCAGAACTGTAAAGCTTACAAACTTGAAATTTGCCACGTTTGTTCCTCTTGGCTTCTAGGTGCTCACTAAGAAAGGATTTTTTGAAATGATCATCAGAGCATTAGTATTTCCTATATTATTATTAACACATCTGATGCTAAGGAGTTCTATTCCCCCTCCTCACCTGAAAAGAAATTTGTTCCAAATGCAAAACACAAGCAGAGGAGAGGATTTCACTTTCAGTTTTACTTTCACAGCAGGAAGCAGCTTTAATACAGAACATTTAAGCTAAGCCATGGCCAGGCCAGGCTCTCCAAGGCCAGGCTCCTTCCTGTCTCCTTCTTGCTCACAGAGCAAATACTGTTTCATTTTCCAAATAGCCCTCTGATGCTAAGGAATTCTACTCCTCACCTGAAAAGAAATCTGTTCCACGCTCGGATAAGGAGTTCTACTCCCCCTCCCCACCTGAAAAGAAATCTGTTCCAAATGCAAAACACAAGCAGAGGAGAGGACTTTCAGTTTCAGTTTTACTTTCACAGCAGCAAGCAGCTTTATTACAGAACAGTTGAGCTAAGCCACGCCCAGCCTCCTTCCTGTCTCCTTGCTCACACAGTAAATACTTTTTGAGTTTCCAAACACCCTCAACTCTCTCACACAATGACAGGATGCTAGCCAGATGAATACCGACGGATGCTGCAGGCTGGAACATTCTACTCCCCCCCGTCCCAACTGTCAGTTGCATTATATTAACACACTGATGCTACGGAGTTACACATTCTACATTAAGTTTCAGGCTGTAAGTGTCAATTTATCAAGCCTGAATATATAGTTTCGTAGCGAAGCACGGGCATCCAGCTAGTATCTTATAATTGAGTAAACACCTGTATCAATGTGATCTAGAAAGAGGTGTGTAGTCTCTTGAGCAGACGATAGACCCTGGATGCGATAAAATGAGCTAACTGGACAAACAAATTCACTACCACTGAATTGGCTGCACATTTAGAAGAATAGTAATAAAATCCAGGAACACTATTCTTATTTAAATTATTATTATGGTTGATTGCACAGTCAGCCAGACATTAAGACTAGACTTGGCATTTTTTATCCACCTATTGAGCCCTTCCCAAGGTTCTGTGATAAGCAGGTGTTGTTTGATGGTGTTAAAGGTATCATCACATAAGGTAAGCTGTTCCAAGTAAAGCTGCTTTTTGCAGTTGACAATGATTGTATCAATGCCAGTGGTGTTCCAATGGTGCTCCAGATGTTTTAGGATTACATACAAGGCACCACTATGTTTGCTTTCTTTTTGCCACAGTTATTCTATTTGTATTTGCAGGTCTTTGTTCTCTCTCTTCTATTCTGCTATCTCCAGTACTGTAACCACTGTCTACATTTTTCTTTCTTTCTTATTGACAATGATTAAAATCTGTGGTTTGTTTGAATTCTAAAGCATTATTATTATTATTATTATTATTATTATTATTATTATTATTATTATTATTGGCTCACAACTATGTGAAGACACAGCTGCCAATTTGTTAGCTGGTGTTCCTCTTCATATGCATTGAGTTCTTCTCAAGAACCTAGAATGTCATAATGTACCAGTATAGTGTATATATGTGAATCTAAATAGCATTTTACAGTGTACCATACATTGGTTGGTTTATGCCATAATCGTTTAGTTTCACATTTCAGATCTTGATACATGGTGATCTTTTCCAATTCTTTGTCTTCTATTCTGCTACCACCTGATATTGCCACTTCAATTATCCACACTTTATTCTTTTCAACTACATATATCTGGTGGGTCATGAGCCGATAATTTATCAGTCTGTATTTGGAAACCTAATAATATTTTAACCTCATTTTTTTAGTTTTTCAATTATATGTTCCCACCAATTTTTATTACTAACAGATGGTAATCTTACAGATGTTCTGGTGAATCATTTTGATGACTGTATTAAGTCATTGTTTATATTCAGTTTGTGGAACTTCTTGCATCACTTAAGTATATAATCTGTTTCTTCTGTTTCTCTGCACAATCTGTACTTGGAATCATTTGACAATTTTTCAATTCTGGCCATGAGTTCAAACAGCTTGTTCTTGTGCAGCCAAAACCAAATCTTCAGTTGTAAGCCATTGCCAGACTTTATCTTTACCCACTTTCTCCTAAATCTTTTTGAGAAATTGACCAGGTAATGGTTTACCCTGCCAGCATCCTATTTGTATATTTTACATTATTTTGATATTAATATTTGTTTCCTGTACACTTACTAAGCTTCAGTTTTTAGCTTGATCAATGCTTGTTCTTGGCTGTTTTTTTACATAATCAGCTAGTGCACAATTTCCTTAGAATAACAGAATTGAAAGGGACCTTGGAGGTCTTCTAGTACAACTTCTTGCTCAAATAGGAAATCCTATACCATTCTGGCTGTCTAATCTTTCTTGGAAATCTCCAATAATTTCAACTTTTGGAAGCAAGCCATTCCACTTATTAATTGTTCTCATATACTGGTCCAGGATCTGCTTTTTAAAAAAATATAAATGATGCTGTGCTTCAGTGGTTAGATGGCATAAACATTGGTATTTAAATATAGATCTTTTAAACATATTTTATTGTGTTTTACTAATCTAAGTGTAATGTTAATATATATTGCTAGTTATGTATGATATGCCATATGCTAAATAAATAAATAATAAATAAATAAATAATAAATAAATAAATAAATAAATAAATAATAAATAAATAATAAATGTTCTTACTGTCAGTAATTTTTTCTTAATTCCAGGTTGGATCTCTCTTCGCTAATCTCCTATGAATAGGCTGACGCTCTCTTCTCTGTGACAGCCCCTCAAATATTGGAAGACTGCTATCATGTCACCTTGTCTTTATTAGACTTGAGTAGATTAGACTAGAGATACCCAATTCGCCAAACCATTCATCATATGGTTTAGCCTTCAGTCTCTATATCATCTTTGTTGCCTTCTCTGCACTTTTTCTAGAGTGTCAACATTTTTTTAATATTGTGATAACCAAAACTGGCAGCAGTGTGGCCTTACTAAGTATGGTCTTAACCACTTGCACCTATGGCAAAATGGTACTAACACTTCACATGATCTTGATACTATCCCTCTGTTGATTCAGCCTAGGACTACATTGGCTTTTTTGGCAACTGTAGCACACTGCTGGCTCATTCATGTGGTTGTCTTCTAGGACATCTAGAACCCTCTCACAATTACTGCTATTGAGTCAGGTGCCACCTATTCTGTACTTGTGCATTTGGTTTTTCTTGCCTAAGTGTAAGATTCACCACTGAATTGCTTTTTGTTGGGTAGTGTTCATTGTTCAAGTCTGTCCTTCTGTATCTTGAGTCTGTCTTCTAAAATGTCCTTTAGAACAGTTAATCAGTGGAATAACCTATCTCCAGAAATTGGGAGGTGCTCAAACACTGGAGGTTTTTAAGAAATATTTGGGCAAGCATTTGTCTGAAAGAGTATAGGGTTACTTGCTTGAGCAGGAGATTGGACTGGAAGACCTCCAAGGTCTCTTCCAACGCTTTTATTCTGTTATTCTATTATTGTTGGCTATTCTCTTCAGTTTGGTGTTGTCTGCAAATTTGATGAGTTCCCCTTCTAGACCATCATCTAGATCATGAGAAGAATACTCTGCCTAAAACAAAACCTTGAAGTATCCCACTGTATGCTTCCCTCCATTTTGATGTAGTTCCATTGAGGACTACATGTTGAATGCAGTTAGTCAGCCAATTGTGAATCCATCTGGTGGTGATTATTATTATTTATTAAATTTGTTTGCTGCCCATCATGCTACAAGACAGCAGATGTTGCTGTCTATTCCATATTTTTCTATTTTACCAAGGAGTAAGGTGTGATCTGCTTTGTCAAATACTTTACTGAAGTCTAAGTAAACTATGTCCACAATATTTTTCTGATCTACTAATTTAGTCATTTGTCAAAAAGCCAGTAAGGTTTGTCTGGCATGATCTATATTTCACAAACACTGGCTGGCTTTTAGTAATTCTCTTGTTTGTTTTTAGGTGCTCACAAATGCACTGGTTGATTATTTTTTCCATGGTCTTCTCAGGTATGTTGTCAGTCTGATTGGTCTCTAGTTTCCTGGATCAATTTTTTCTTTTCAAAAAAAGATTGGAACCACATCAGCTCTTTTCCAATTCTCCAGTAGTTCTTGCTGCTCCAGGCAGAATGGGACAATTCGCCACTGTCAACTCGCCGCCACCATCTTGCCATGGTTCAACTTGCTGAGGCCAATTTGCTGCAAGACAACTTGCCGCAGGACAATTGTATGCGGGATAACTCAATATGATAAATATTATCCGCCACTACTTCTTCAGCATTATTTCCATTGACAAAGATGGAAGTAATGTAGAAGAAATAGTGGCAGACAACATTTATCAAGTTGAGTTATTCCATGTGGATTGTCCTGCGAAGAGTTGTCCCATGATGAGTTGACTGCAGCAGGATGGCCGTGCTTGGTTTGTCACGCAAGATGGCTACCACCATCATCATGAGCCATTGTGGCGCGGTGGTTAGAGTGTAGTACTGCAGGCTACTTCTGCTGGCTGCCTCCAATTTGGCAGTTTAAATCTCACCAGACTCAATGTTGACTCAGCCTTCCATCCTTCTGAAGTGGGTAAAATGAGGACCCAAATTGTTAGGGGCAATATGCTGACTCTGTAAACCGCTTAGAGAGGGCTCTAAAGCACTGTAAAGCAGTATATAAGTCTAAGTGCTATTGCTATTGCTTTCATCTAGGAAGAGATGGGAGCAGCTGAAGCAAACAAGCTATTTTAATGGTGACAACTTTAGCTGTAGACTGACATGACATGATAATACATTGTCTTTGACATCTACTCTCTTTCTTGGTATTAGAACTCTGACTATGAGATGCATAGTCAGATACAGATGCATAATCCAGAAGTGTTATTCTTATTGTATAATTGAAGAGAAAGGGGACAGAGAAATGACTTTAGAAAGAAAATCTGTAGGGTTCCCTGGAGGTCATTCATTTGAGCACTGAGATACAGAATGTATTGTTAAAAGTGAATCCTATTCTACAGGATCCTATTCCATCCTACTGTCTGCTTCTCTACCCTAACTTTCTAGAGTAATCCTTTGGGACTGCAGTATACAATTAATTTCAATAATATGCTATGAGAAATAGCCAGGAAACATTGTACTCAGGATTGCATGAAAGTACATTTGGCAGCTTGTTCTTTGAAACAGGAACATAGATGATATAGGAACTAAAATGGGAGAAAAATTTTGCACACTTGATTTGACATTGACTCAGTATTTGTACCTTTTGTCAATGTCCGAAATTCTTTTATTATTTTATGTGTACCTTTATGAGGTGGATTGCTTCTTCCAAGAATGTCTTTATTGTTGAAACACTGCTTTTAAAGCTAGCAAATTTTTATTGAAAATATCATAGTTTTTTTCCAGCCAGGAAAAGAAAACTGGAATAAAACAAAACAAGAGGTTGTTTCCTCTGCCGAAATTTGAAGGAGAACAGTTCCCAAGTCAGAGTCCAAAGCATCTGTTTGCACACCAAAGGGGTAACTGGGAACTCAATGTATGAGTGGGAAGAAGATATTCTCAAACTCTAAAAGGTGGCTTATTTTTGAGTAGACCATATTTGTACACTTTTTCCAGAATTAAGGTTTTACAATATGATGAACCAGCTATCTTCTCTGCCTAGGCATTAAACTGAGTCCTGGCCAGGCATTGTAGAAAGTTGGGGGAGTGTATTTATACAGGCCTGATAAGGGTACAAAATTCCATCAAGCACTTCCTCCGCTTCTTTTTGTTATCCTCTAGTACCTACCATCTCCCTCCACTTCTGTTTTCCCAATCCCTGCTGCTGCTATTTCTTCAGAATAGCCTTTATGCTTAGCAAGCACTGAGTCTGCAGGCACTTACAATCAGAAGCTGTGGCTTGCTCACAGGAGGCTATGTTTTCCTGCATCACATCTGAATCTTGAGAAAACTACAGAGCAATTAGTTGAACTATAAGGGTTTTTCTGTATATTTAAATTTCCCATACTGTGTGTTAAAAGCTGTTAAATAATCATATGATTTGGATCAGATCATGACTGTTTCTCAAGCCTGGTGTACTGAAGATCTGTGTGCCTTCATAAGGTGATCCAGCAGTTCAAAATTTCTGACATATAAATGTCAGGAATCAATTGAGACTTCCATCAGACTTCTCAAGTCAAGTTGCCAGGGAATGGAGTAACACTATATAGTAATTTTGGGGCCATTCCTGTCTGAGGTAAGCCTTGTCCCACAAGATGTGCTTGCTGTATTGTGGCACTTTATAGGTTTGTAATTTTGTATTTATCTCCTATTCATACAGCAATAAGACTTTGGCTACTTGTGTTCTCAGGAAAACTTTAAGAATCTGCCATATTCTAGATCTAGAAGGCAAGATCTCATGACTCTCTGAGACAAAATATTGAGGCTTTCAAGATAGATGTTAGTCTGGTGAAGAAACAGAAGCAGCAGAGATTGCAGGAGTGATCTTTATTATTGTAGGGTAAAATAACAAAATCTTGAGATCCTTTCAAGGTTTTTTCCTGCCCTATTTTATAGCAAACAACACCTGGGATTATTTTAGGTTTCTTTCTCATGGTCCCTGCTTTCCCAAGATTGAATTGTCTTTTGTCCTCTTTTAAAAGTTCATTGCTGTCTTCTCCCTTATGATGGCCAGATTTACATTCTTTCAGGCAGCATACATATGCTTTACTTTTTTTTTTTTTAAAGTGATTTCAATTGTAGGCTTTCTTCATTACACACAAGGACACAAGGAGTGGATTTTAAATGCAACACCAAGATTTATTGCAATTTATTAATGATAACTTCTATATGGAATGAGGTTTGCCAGTCCTACATTGTTATTTGAGTTTTCCATTTATATCATAAATACGTTGAATTTTAATTACTTTTAGATTTTATTCTGTTACAAAGATTTATTGTATATACATTTTTACTATAATTTAGATTTACTTTCATATATCATTTTGTATACAAATATTTGCTTGTCATATACAAATTTAGTTCAGAAACTTTTTAGTGATGGTTTATTTCAGAAAACTGAGAGAACAATTAAACAAGAATTTAGTTTCTTGGAAAAGTGTATGCCTTTAAAAATGATTGCATCATATATTTGAGCTGGAAGTTGAGCTTCATTATTCTTTAAAATCTCTGTCCACTTGGTTTGATCCACTTATGTACTGTTAGAAATCCATCCATATACATACAGTATACACGAACATGATCTGTGGGGATAAAAACAATAGAAAATTTCTGTCCAAACTGTAGCACAGCTAGGTAGGAATGCAGTAGTAACCTGGTTTGCTCCCATTGTTGTGTATTATTAATTTATATATCACTCAGAACATGTTTTGCATCGTTATAGGAATTTATCTAATTATATACATCAACAGGGAAGAATGGACAGAAGCCATCCAAGCAGTAGCAGACAGACTTCAGAGGCAAGAAGAGGAAAGAATGAATTGCAGCCCAACATCCCAGATTGATAACATTGGAGAGGAAGAGATGGATGCCTCGACAACCCACCATAAAAGAAAGGTATTTAGAACGTTGGTTAACACATTTTAAAAAGTTTTTATTACCCTTAGTTACAAACATTTTTCTGCTATTATGGAAACAGGAAAAGTAGATGAAACTATGTGAAACTAAGGTTCATATACAGTATATAATAAAAAACCATGTTAGTTGCTACATTAAAATTGTGCCGAAGTTTTTCAGCTGACATTCCAAAGTTCAAAGTGGATTAGTTTGGAGTAGTAAATTTGCTACATACACAAGGTGTTTATCAAACTAACAGTAGTTCTGTGGGTTGTGTTTATTGACCGCTTGCTTATGATATTTTTTATTTTTTATCTTTAATCTATCTTTTACTTGAATTTCATTGGCTTTGTTGGCCTTTGACATATCAATGGTTTTGAATATTAGCAAACATTTTGTGGATAGGTAGGGTGCAAATATTCCATATATACTTATTACCATAAATGTGTATTGTTTGTTCACTAATTATTTCTTCTTTAACTAGAATAGTAGTGAAAAATAGTGGGTTAATTCTGAGCAGCACTGTAATTTAGTAATGCTGAGTGGCACCTTCTCTTCTCCGTCCCAAATGTCGTTTATATTTTGTATCAGTTAATGAAATAATTATTCTCTTATGTGATGATACAAGAATGAGGATAAAAAATGAAAGCTAGATGAAAGCTTGTCAGAGACTATAAATTGCATATTAAAAAGTTTCTTGGAAGAAAATGTTATTTTGTAGAATGTCATTATTTTAAGTTAATTAGGAATAAGACTGCTAAGCTTCAACTAGGTAAATTTGACTCTAGGGCCAGATCCACTTGACTCTTGAGGCAATATTATGGAACTGATTTATCACTGTCCTTCCGGATTTTTTTTTTTTAACTTCCTACTCAAACTAGTAGCACTTGAATTTTCAGGTAGCCCCTAATCCAAATATTAACCAGGGCTGAATATCAGTTAGCTTTTGCAAGCAATTAATACTGCCTTTTTTATGCTCATCAGTTGGCAAAGTGAACACACTCATTTTTTTAATGCTTCACCTTTTTTTCTTCAAATATGCCTTTTGTGTGGTTGTGGCCAAACAGGTCAAATGTTGTTTCATTGGGTCAGAGGATTTAATTTCAAAACATTTAAGGGCTATAGGATATTATTTTGTATATGTTAGACAGTGACATTTGAGATGAGATCAGAGAAAAACTTCTGACAACTCCTCTGCACAGATTATTGTTGTATAGGGATCGCTGTAGCTGCAAACAACTACTCTATTCCTATTAAAACTTTTCAGCTGGTTGTTTTCAGGATATTATGACTTCTCTTTTATAAATTTGATCAATGAGACCAGCTCTAGTAGAGATTTGCTTTGATTTTGCCTTCCTTCCTTCCTTCCTTCCTTCCTTCCTTCCTTCCTTCCTTCCTTCCTTCCTTCCTTCCTTCCTTCCTCCCTCCCTCCCTCCCTCCCTCCCTCCCTCCCTCCCTCTATTCTCTATAGCCATCCATCTCAAACTAGTGATTCTGGGTTATGAATAAAACATAAAAACCAAGTACAAACCTGAGAGGGGGGGGAGGGAGGGAGAGGGAGAGGGAGAGAGAATCACTAATTTACTAGAATGCAAATATGCAACCTCCTCTCTCTCCCCTCTCTTTTTCTCCAGTTTTTTCTTCTATGTGGTCCATTTTGAAATAAATCCATTTTGTTTTCTATCAAAGTTCATGTTATATATTTATTTAAGTAAAATAAGTGTTAAAAATAATATGGTTTATTAATACAGAGATACTGGTAGATGCCCAAATAGACATCTTCAATATATTGATATATGTGTGGGGGCTTTAATGGTGATCAGAGAAATACCATTACTAATATTATTATAGTTATTACATCAGCAGTAGAGTATTATGTATTGATTGGCTTACTGTTTTAATATATCCTGAAAAATGAGCATGAAAAGTTCCTGCAATCTGATAAGAAAAATAACACATTATGTTTCCTAGAAGGCAGATGTGACAGGTTGATTATAGTTATTAGGTGAGATTATTAGAAGGATTGAGAACATTATCGTTGTGCATATTTGTCTTTAGGAGGATGCAACTGGAGCATTAACTGTGTCTTATTAGATGACCAAATCTTATCTGGTTAATGTGATTCATAAGAATGTGTTAATAAAAGATAGATTTTTAGATCCAGCTTCTTTAAAAGTGTGGAAGCCAATTACAGTATAGGAATATCAGTTATTGAGTATTTGAGACAAAGGGTTATTTTCCTATCTCTGGGAAATGATCATTCTTCATCTGTAACTAAAATATTCACCATAAGAGATGATAGATCATCGCATGAGATTGCTTTCAGCAGCTTGTAAATAATGTTTAGACTTTGAAATGATTCTATTCATTAAGCAGTGTTTTTCCTTTATAAACATGTGTTCTTCCTAGAGATCATTACATTAAAAAATTACCTTTTCAGTTCTGAAGTATATTTTTAAACAAGAAATGCTACTAGATTTCTATTTTGACCTTCTAGAGATAATTGTCACTTGTTTACAGAACAAAAAATCATTATAGTCCACTTAAAAGTTTTTACAAGCTGGGTTGAACACAAGCAATCTGCAAACTGCAAACTGCAAAGAAAACAAACAGGTTGATTGTTGATGTTTCAGTACTTTGAAGTCACTTTTTGGTGTAGGAAATTTTCATGTGAAGCTTCAGAGCCAACAGTATGACCCTGTTAAAGATTTTTAAATTCTCATATTTCTCTGCAGTTGATGATCTTTCTGGGAGTTGTAAAACATTTTGATTAATCTATTAATTATTCTTCTCTATGTTGAATAGCTATATAATTGTCTATACCAGTGATGGTGAACCTTTTTGGCATGGCGTGCATATTCACCTTGGAAAATGGAAGATTAGCTCTTCCAATTTCCGGCACTGCCTCATGCACAAAGGCCAGCTGATCATCACATGCACATGTGTGCCAGAAACCCGGAAGAGGAATGGGCAACACAGCACATGCCAGGCGACATGGCTTCGTATGCTACTTCTGGCACACGTGCCATAGATTCGCCATCACAGGTCTATACTATGTAGGATCATTGACCTGTTGGTGTACTTCCTTTTCAAATGTGTACAAGCTTTCTTATACTGTAGATAGTAATAATAAAATGATATCAGAATTTGGAATCATACCACACTGATTTGTAAAGAATAGCTTGTTTCTTCATAACCATAGATTTTACTAATGGACAACAATATTTTAATGAACACAATATCTGCAAGCTGTAAATTCCATTAATTTTTCATCTTATACTTCATACAGACAATGAATGATTTTGATTACTTAAAACTACTTGGCAAAGGCACTTTTGGCAAAGTTATTCTGGTCCGGGAGAAGGCAAGTGGGAAATATTATGCTATGAAAATTTTAAAAAAGGAAGTTATTATTGCAAAGGTATGTTTATGTGTTTAATATAATTTTGTTGTAAATATAGATATTTGTGAAAATAGCTTATTTTCACTCCTATAAATCTTATTGGAATAAAGTGTCTATAAGATAACTTCTTAAATTTCTTTATATTGTGATATAAAGGCTTTAATCAGACACACCCAAATTTTAAAGTTAACAAGAATATTTATACTATCTTCTTAACTTATCTCTTAAATATAAGTCTCCTGGTTTAATGGAGGCTGGAAATGGGATTCATTGCAATGTAAGAACTGTTCTCCCAGAAATTTTCCCCTCCTGTCCTACAGTCCCATCATGTAATTTCTTATAAAGTAATTCTTAAAACCTCAGTATTGCATCTGGGTATACATTTAGTATAATTCTAAACAGCCAAAGTAAACAGCCCAACCAAAGAACCTCTAAGACCACCGTCACAAATAGTGACCGGACAAGCCACTAGAATATAAACAGAGAGCAAACCCCACTCCTTACTAATATTGATGCTGTTAATCTATTTTGGATAATGAAATGTCTGCAAGAAAATAACCAAGCTTAGAATGAAGCAAGGAATGCACAGTTAGTATACCATGACACCAATTGCCCATACCAAATCAGTCTGTGACTATGTGTGGCAGAATAGTTGACTCTTGCTAGCAGTCCACCAGGATTTCAGGCAGAGCTTTTTCACCTTACTTCCTGTCTGATTTTTTAAACATCAGATATTGGACCAAACTGTATCAAATTAAATTCAAAGATACTTTTTGCTGATTAATTATGGCCCGTCCATACAGATTCAGTAGCTGTTGTATGTGATATCATTTTCCTCCCTCGCTGCTCCGATATTCCACCGATTGGGAAGGTTCCACCGTCATTGGATAGACTGAATGCCATTCAAACTTCCTCTACAGCCTGGTCACGCCCCTTCCTTCTGCGCATGTCCAGTCTTTTCACTCAGAGGTGATTAGACTGGAGTGCCTTTGGTTCTGATATATAAACTGTCAAATTTGCTTCAAAGGTTAAAAACCTCAGCTGTTTTGTACTTCGGAGGGTTGCGTTTTATAAAAAGATCAGATACTTTGGCGCTGGGTGGCTTCGGCTTTTTCCGGCTGGGGCGCCAGCCGCCTTTGGACGTTCTCTGACAGCGCAAAGGAAAGGGGACCTTGAAACGGTCCGAAAGCAGCCGTTTGAGCTGCGAGCGAGGAGCTGGTTACCCGGCGCGCCGGCAGAATCGCTCTCGCAACTCTCCGCATCGTTTCCTTCAATTGTGTGCGGCTTGGGAGTCCCTGCGTTGCGAGCAAACTCCAGATAACAGGAGGGCACTTCGCAACGAAGACCGGCAGAAGGGAGAGAGGCTGCACACTTGATGAATACCATACTGTTTATATGTCATAGCAGTCGTAGTCTACAGCATTTGAGCTTCAGATCTTAATTATATATTTCTATGGTGGCACATTTTAGATATACATCAAATATTACAATAGGAAAATATTCTGCTCTCAGAACCTATCAAAAGAGGCCATTCTGGACATACCAAAAGAGGCCAACCTCTTTTAGAGTTAGACTATTCTAACTTTAGCCTATAAGTCATAATGGCTCACTTCAGATCAGAAAACTCACAAAAGATTTTGCATCTCTTTATATACTTTTATACTTTAAAAAGTGATTATTCAAGGAAACACTGCATAATTTTCTCAACAATAAATACTAGATTCCATAATTCAATACTATGGGAGACTAAAATTAGTTTATCATAGTGTTGTAGCAGTACTGTTTGTTATAGGTTTGATGTGAATGATATATGATGTATCCTTTTGAAGCTTTTGAATACCCTGTTTCCTCTCCCTTTTTAAAAATGGTTAGTGTATGATATTCCAGAAACTTCTTGTATGTTTTTACAATAATGTTTTGATCTAGTTTTTTCTTCTAAAATTACTAATTTTAATATTGCATTTTTTATTTTTTAGGATGAAGTGGCTCACACTCTTACAGAAAGTAGAGTATTGAAAAACACTAGACATCCTTTTCTAACAGTGAGTATAGATAATTAAATTTACACTATTTTGTAAAACTACTTGGAAATTTATTCTCAATAATTTCTAGAATGTTCAACTGGATTGATTATGCCTAAACTATACTATAATGTGGTGACTTTAAGTATGAAGATATTAAAACTATATGGTTAGGCATTATACTATAAGTGAAAAGAGAAGACAAACAGTTTCAGGAAATAGGTTGGAGATTAATTGTGTTAAAAACCTCCTTGATGTTTTTTAATTAAAAATTGATATAGAAATATCTTAAATAAATGTAGCATATTTTCAATGCCTTTGGTACCAGTGCCATTATTTAGCTTAGTTTGGTTCAGGCCAGTTCTTAATTAAAATATTTTAGGCTGATTTCAAGTGCATAACAGCTGCAGTATATATTCCAAACTTTGTCACCAGATGCAAAAGATGGGGGGGGGGTTTCTTGTGTTTTAATGGAATATAGAAGAAATTTAAACAGATATAGTATTATAAGGAACTGAGGAGAAAAAACAACAATGGTAACCATCTGTTAGAGAAAGAGTCAGATCTTAATGACCTGATAATGTTCTATAGTATCCAAGAGCTCAATTTCATCAATCCTGAAAAAGCAATCCAGCAGTGAGAATGTGTAAGGGCAAGTTATCTATAGAAGAAGGGCTTACACTGAAAAGGCTCATTTGTGGGGTCCCTGCAGATGGAATTCCCTCAGGTATAGGACCTTCAGCAAAACTTCTTTCCCTGATTTCACTGGATTGGCAATTTATTTCAGAGAGGATGGTCTTGAAGATACCCAGGCCATGAGTCAGATAGGTCTTTGAAAATGATAACCAGTATCTTCAATTATATCATACATTATTAGTGTTTTGTCATGTTCTTCCAACAGTACTGACATTTAAATAAATTGTACCAACTGCTTCTCTGTGTACAACTAACAATCTACCAACACAATCTTTTCAGTTGTTTAAATGCATCCTGAAACTCAGTGTACTTATATAACACTATACAGAGTATTAACACAAAAAACATGAGCGTATGGATCACATCATGCTTTTGTCTGGTCTTGTCTCTTCTGTCCCTCCCTCCCCCCTCCCTTTGAATCACCCATCCTACTATATTGCTTTATTTTTTAAAAAATAGTGCATTGAACTCTGTGTGTATGCAGCAATTACTTAGAGGTAGGTGGCTGAATATACAGTCATCAAAAAAAGAATGGGTGCCCCGATCTATATTCTTCTTATATGTCTTATTCCTCAGCATTCCACCCTACCTCAATTTTCCTACTCATCTTCAGCCAAGATGGGATTTTTTTTAATATATAAAAAAAAGAAAGGCAAAGAGAGTACAATTTTTCAGTTAAATCGCCTAAAACAACCAGAACACAAAAAATGCTTTAAAAATCCCAACTGATAAAGATGCTAAATGAATTTGTTGAGAAGATTGGATGGAACTGATTCATAAATATAAAAATAGGTTTTACAACTAGCTAGTATTCTTGTTGAGATGATAAATGGGGCAACCAACAGCATCAAAGACCTATTTCAGATCCAGTCCAAATGACATATATTGGTGATCCAGGATAAAAACTTTGCTAGGAAAAACATAATGCATATTCTAGAGCTAGATCAGATGTTCTAGCATTAATTTATTTTCTTCTATAATATATAGGATGGAACAAGACCAATAATTATTATTGCTATCTAATAAACAAGATACATATTTTATCATAAACAATCACAAATTCTAGTACAATGCAAATTTTTCAAGATAAAACTGCCCCAGTGATTATTTCTGACAATTTATTCAATTTGAAGTAAATTACTTTTTCAACTTCAATATTGATACCTTCACTATCTCATATTCCCTAGACTGGGTAGTATTTGGGACTAATAATTCATAGTATTGGGCCTTTGGTCACCTGAACAATTTTGTGAGCCAAATACTGTATTTTTCGGAGTATAAGATATACCTCCCCCCCAAAAAAAGAGGGTGAAAATCTGGGTGCGTCTTATGCTCTGAATGTAGCCCCTTCCAGCTTCTCAAACGGAAGTTTCAGAGGCTGAAAAAAGCATCAGAAACGAAGCTTCAGAAAAGAAGCCCCCAAACAGAACTTCAGAAAAGAAGCCCCCAAACAGAGCTTCAGAAAAAAAGGCCCGAAACAGCTTCAGAAAAGAAGCCCCCAAACAGTTTCAGAGGCTTTTTTTCTGAAGCTCTGTTTCAGAAGTTTCAGAGGCAGAAAAAAAAAGCAAAAAAAACAAGGCACAGAGCTCACAACCAAAGAACCTGTTGTTAAAATTCACCTCTGGGAACAGCTGATTGGGGGTATTCCGGGAGGCCGATCCACCAGCCAATCAGCTTTTTTCTTATTTTCCTTCCCAAAAACTAAAGTGCGTCTTATACTTCGGTGCATCTTATACTCCAAAAAATACGGTAGACAATTAGTTGGATATATAAATTGCTTGGAAAAATAAGTTCCGTTGGATAAAAAAGTCATGAATATACTTTGTGACATTCATTCAAAGCTGCCTTCATAAAGGCTTAAACTGTAACAACATTTGCTTTTGACTTATAGTTATAGTTCATATAGTTATAAATCAAAAGCAAATGTTATAGTTTAAGTTTTTTTAGTGGAATAACTTTAACTATATTTTAATATTAATTTATATGCTTAAATGTTTTCAGAAAAACTATCTTTAGATGATTTTGCCTTTAAAATATCCGCTAACCATGCCTGTATAGAGAAGTCTTCCCCATACCACTCAAGCATTTAGTTGCATGAAGTAAAACATTTTACTGGCAATTCCAGTGGAGGTATATTCTCCACCTGTATAGCCATGTAGGGAAAACATGCCATGGACCTAGAGCAGGGGTATCAAACTCACTGCGTCAGGTTGCCGTCATGTGACATTTTGTAACATTTCCCCCTTCGTGGAACTGGATGGGTGTGTGACGCATCTAGCCCACGGGCTGCCAAT